GATATCACAACAGTGAGATGATGCCATCTTCAAATCGTTCCTCAACACCTACAGCTTTACCGTACCTCTATGGGAGCTGTAATTTCCATGAAGAACAGGGGAAATCATTTCAGCTTAAAATCAATATGCACCTTTTTGGACAGGTATGTATTGTATTAGACAGATATGTAATGTGGATGTTTTCGACAAGAAGATATTTGAGTAATATCTGTTTCTAACCAACTCTATAAATGTTACATTTAAAGAATTTCATGAATGAATTGGTAAATATATACTTGCTGTGTCAGCAATTTTCAGAATTAATGACTGAATGCATAAGTTTGTTCATTCATTAATAATCACGTAAGGAAAAATAATGCCGAAGGACAAATGAGTAGGCTGAATCCCAGTATACCTTATCCCTCTGCAATTTTTATTTATTTATTTATTTATTTTATTATTATTTTTTTTTGTATCTTTAAGTGAAAAACCTTAAGGTTTCTTGGGGGTTTACAGTTAAAATCTTCCATAATATGAAGACTTTATCACAGTGCCACAGCCACAAACTGGGAACGTTATCCTCCCCTAAGTATTTCACCATAAATAAGAGAAAGGAAAAAAAAACTACAAAAGAAGTGTTTCTTTTCTGCTCAGCTCTCTTTTTCGATCTGCTGCTCATGCCCTTGCACAGTCCTACTCTGGGGGAGAGAATGCTTTGCTTTATTATGCAGCTACTGTGTGATATACACAGAGATGTGGCACCACTTTAAGATTTGTTTATTTTTGTTTTGTTTTTCTTTTTTTTTTTTCTTTTTTACCTCAACCACATTTTGCTCAAAGAAAATGATTTAACTAATTATGCACCTGTGAGATAAACTGTGTTGATTGGCTTGATCTGCAGGATAAATGATGTTGCATGACAAAACCTATTAAAGTAAATGGAGAGTATTGGCACAGTAAGCGAACGTGTTACTCTTTCAAATGTTTTCTTTCATCTTGCAAAATTTTGCATTCATACTGGGAGTTGTCTGTTGTCAGTATTGTGTCATGTTTCTCGCTGTATGGCATTTTAATTGTGCATCTGATTGTTGTTGTTTAACCTTTGCTGTGTCTTTTACTCTTGGCTTCTTTCTAATGCAACTTACCTGTATAAGTCAAATTATTCTATGATTGCAGTCATGTCTTCTTATTTGCCTAAATTTATCAGTTGTTTATTTGATGTAATTTTGTATGATGTCATGTTATAGCTATATTCTTTCTCCATGTTAATAATCCCTTTTTTTTATGAAATGCGCAATTCCAATTTCTGTTCATGCACTGTTTCCAAATAAGATCCAGTTTTAAATAAACTGACATTATCTTGTGTGACCCAAACTATATATATATATATA